CACTGTACTACTGTAGTTGATTTATGGATTTATATAAAGTAATATTGCTTTTAATAACTAGGGTCAATTGTCTGCAAATTTAGCCATGAATAACTTCTCTTCCCCTTTCTGTGTATGCCAGTCCTCCCTTCAAGGGCTGGAATCTATTTCACCTCCCCTTGAATGCAGGCTGGGCTTGCAATTTGCCTTGACCAATGGAATGCAGTGGAAGTGATGTTTGTGACTCCCAGAGCTAGGCTTTACTTAAAAGGTGTTGCAGCTTCCATTTCTACCCTCTTGCAGGCCAGCAAACATGTCATAGAATCTGCGTGTTTTGCTTGAGAGCCCCCTTAAAGGGGAAAAGGCTCACATTAGAAACTGTAGATGTGAGGATATTGAGTAGTCTGAATGAGTTCCCATACAGGGAATAGCAGAGGGCCAGAGACAAACTGCCCCTACTAGGCCTGATTGTGTGGCTGAGAAGGAACCAAGGAATGAAGTAGAGGAGTTTCATGATGGTGGTTTCAACTGACTTTGGAAACTTGTTGACCTGCCCTGGGTTTGGCACTTGGCGAGGTCAGAGCTGTCAGTGTTGGCTGATATAAGGACTTATCCATTAGAATGATAACCATAATTGTGTTAGATGGTTGCTGGCCCTTGGATCTCCGGAGTAGGGCACTTTTTTCTAACCATTGGCCCTGGGAATTGGCTCCTAAACACATTGCAGAAGCCCTATTGCAAAAGCTACCCTGAACACTGTGAAGCGTTGAATTTTATCTCCCCCAAATTAATATGTTGAAATTCTAAACCTTAGTACCTCAGAATATGACCTTATTTGGAAATAGTGTCATTCCAGATGTAATTAGTTAAAATGAGGTCATACTGCAGGAGGGTGGTCCCTATTGCAATCTGACTGATGTCCTTATAGAAAGAGGAAATTTGGACAGACGGAGAGAATACCATGTGAAGATGAAGGCAGAGATCAGGTGATGCAGGAGCCGAGGAATGCTGAAGATTGCTAGCAAGCCACGGGAAGCCAGGCAAGCGGCATGGGCACATTCTCTCTCATGGCTCTCAGAGGGACACTTGATCTTGGAATTCCAGTCTTCACAACTGTGAGACAATACACTTCTGTTATTTAAACCTCCCAATCCATGGTCTTTTGTTACGGCAGACCTTGGAAATGGATACAAGCACCCATGCCTCTTCCTCTCCTTTCCTCGAATCTCTGCAGTTCTGGGTGGATGATCACAGGGATAAACTTGTGCCTATGATGAGGAAGCTGCCAGGTGCCATCAGGTTTAATCTAATTAAAAATGAAAATTCTCATTTCTTCAAAAGATTTGTGAAAGTCAATTGATTGGATATTGCAGGTACAAGGAAAAGGAGATAATTTTTGATAGGAGGACCCCTTTAATACACTGGAAATAACACCAAATACGTTGTTTCATCTACTTTCTTTGAGACCTTTCTACCCAAGAATGTCACTTATTCCAGAGTTTTCTGGGTGTTAACCTTAAGTTGTTTTTCTCCACAAACCTGATTTATCCTAACTGTATTAGTATTGGCGCTTGATTATTCCCATCTAATCATTTGTATGATTTTTAGTGGCGTAATTGTTGAAAGCTGATATTAGAATCTTCAAAGTGGCATATCCTATTCAGCAGTGTTTAGTGCTTTATAATAACAATAATATTGGATGCATTATGCAGTAATAATGGAAATCACATTTGCAAAATCATTGCAGTAATGGGACGTTTTAAAATGCGAGAAATAGAAAAAGCACACTGGAAGAGCAGAGCATGTTTTATTCACAGCCTTTTGGCTGCCTGTACTCTCAGGTCAGAAGGCAGAGAAGAGCTTATGTGCTCCCCAGGGGGCACCACCCTGGGCTGCATGATTTAGGCGGCTTTTCAGTCACTGGAATCAGAAGAGGGTGGGAGCATTGTTGTGTTTGAAAATACTTTTTGCTCTTTAGAATAGATTAGCATTTTATAAATGAAAATTGGATTTTCAAAGAAAGGCTCTGCTATGATTTAGCCTAATGATTTGGTTCCCTTTGATTTGCTCATAACTTCTGATTGATAGTTTATTTTTAAGATGTTTGGAATAAATATGCAAAATATATTCCTCATACATCACTAATAGAGTTTTTAGGTCAATTTAAAGCTGATGAACTTTACTCTGTCCCTTTAATACTTCGATGTATTCCTCACATTCAACATATGCAAACTCACAGAAAACCATGGTGAACATGACTCTGTAAGGAACCTAAAACATTCTTGGCTATGTGAATTGATAGAACAAATGCTGGTTTTAGGTTCTGGATATTTTCTGTACCAATTAGACAATTTTATGAAGTTTTGATTAAATATTTCCTTTGGCAGCTTAATTCCCCTTATTCCAGGATTATTCCATTTAAAATTTGCCAAGATTAAACAAAGCCATGGACATGCCAGGGCAGCAGAGTTGGGAAAAATGAGTGAAATAATTTATTTATGAATAGTGTTTTATTTTTATTTATTTATTTTTATTTTTTATTTTTGTAGAGATGAGGTCTCACTATGTTGTCCACGGTTGTCTTGAACTCCTGGGCTCAAGTGATCCACCTGCTGGGATTACAGGCATGAGCCACTGCACCCAGCTAAATTTCACTGTGTCTGATTCACAACAATTATTTTAGCCTGTTGTGTATTCACATAACTGGCTTTGCTCAGTTCCTCTCATGAAGAAAGGTTTTGTTTTGTTTTAACTTTTTCTCTTTGAGTTTGGAACTATTGAACGGACAAGCTGGTTTACAGACACCCAGTCTTTCCTAAGGCACTCAGTATTCTTGGGGTATTACCATCACTTTTTCCTTGGTGGACCGGGAGGTACAATCCAAGGCAAGAATGTGAAACCGTGTCTCACAGAGTCTCAGGCATCAGGACAAAGCCCATTTTCTTGTAGCTGTTATATGTAAATTCTGTGTACCTTCTCTTCCATTCAACTCTGAAATCACCCAAGGAATGTGTGTTAGGCTGCTGTTGTGTTGCTATAAAGAAATATCTGAAGCTGGTTAATTTATAAAGCAAAGAGGCTTACTTGGCTTATGGTTCTGCAGGCTGTACAGGAAGCATGGTGCCGGTACCAGCTCCTGGTGAGGCCTCAGGGAGCTTACAATCATGGTGGGAGGTGAGGAGGCTCCAGCCTGTCAGATGGCAAGAGAGGGAACAAGAGAGAGGGGGGCAGAGGTGCCACACTCTTTCTAAACAGCCAGATCTTACGGGAACTCAGAGCTAGAACTCACTCAGTATCTCGAGGACAGCACCAAACCATTCTTGAGGGATCCACCCCTATGACCCAAACACCTCCCACCACACCCCACTTCTACCATTGGGAATCATATTTCAAGATGATATTTGGAACAGGACAAACATCCAAACTATGTCAGAATGTTTCTGTGGCACAAGGAGCCTCACATTTGAGCCTCATATGAGAAACTTATCAAACAGACATACAATGAGAAGGGAAATAATGGGTAGCATACATCTTGGTGTTTATCTGTTTTTCTAAACAAGCAAAGTTATTTTCACTTTCATGGGGCAGGATATTCATGACTTCAGTCAGCAGCTTCCTGAAGGGCTGCTTAAGGTTCTGCTGTCCCCTCGTGGGGCTACAGCCTTTGCAATGATTTCCTCCAGCCTCATTATTCCAGTTTATGTCTGAATGCTGTCAGCTTTCCTCCATGTGGTAAAATTATGCCCCTTGAAAAGTGCTCTGCAAATGTAAACTGGCAATATTGATAATAATACTTTATTCACTGACCTATATTCGCTCTCTAGATAGCACCTTATTTTCCAGACTCCAAACCTCTTTGGGACTCTGAGTTACCCATTTTTCCTCTTGGGTGTATTGGAAGAGGCAATGTTATGTAGGGGTTACGAACACAGGCTCTGTAGACAGACTCTGTTCAGAGTTCACCACTGCCTTTCTAGCCATGTGACTGGGGATGGGTTCCTCACTGAGTCTGGTTTCCTAAACTTTAGGGATACTCACAGAATCACCCTTACAGTGTTGTTGAGACGATTAAAGGATATTGCAAGGGGAAACCCTTAGCATGGTGTCAGGTACATATAATTACTTGGTAAAGATGAACTTTCACTGTGTTTAGGGTTCTGGTGTTCTAACGGATTTTTTGCATGGGCAGTGAAGAGGAGCGGATTCTCATGACTTGATTAATTGCAAAATATTGATCTTCCAATCCTCTTCTTCCTTTATTCTGTCTGACTTGAATGTGAACTTGTGTTCATTAAATAAGCAGAGGATGGTGTTGCTGCTTTTTTTTTTTTTTTTTTTTAGAATGCTATACTGGTATGTACATTGTAAAGAAATCATAGAATAATAATTTTTTTTATAGTCCAATATTCAGATACTCAATAACTTTTTCCTTGGTGTCCAGTCTTGATGAAGTTGGAGTTGGGGGAATGAGGCTTGCAAGATAGTCCCTGCAGGCAGTGGCCCTCTGTCACTTCCTTTCTGTAGACACCTTCTGTCAGGACTTGGCTGAGTTTCCTGGGGTGGCAGATAGTTTGTGGGGTGCACAGAGGTCTGTGATACACTCGCTCTACCTTCTCCTTCTCAGATATCCATTCCCACTGGGCAAAAAGCAAGACAGTCTGTTGTGATTTTTGCCTGGCATTTCATCATTTGTGTATTAACATATGTTAACATAACAGGCTCACGCCTGTAGTCCCAGCTACTCAGGAGGTGGAGGCAGGAGGATTTCTTGAACCCAGGAGTTTTATACCAGCCTAGGCAACATATTGAGACCCCCATCTCTTAAAAACAAGAACAAAAAACCAAAACATTTAGTATGGAATGGAGTTAGAAATTCATGTCATAAATGGCCACTTGAAAACCACCCTCAGCTCTAAAATTTTAAAAATTCTGCTTCCTTCAGAGATAGTTATAATGTGAAACTCCCGATATCAAGATGGCTTTACTAAATCTGCTGATCTCATTTCATTGCTTTGTTATAGATTGACGTTCTCAAGGCAGATCTGGAAAGTGCAGAATGGAAAGTTTTGGAAAATCTTATTCTGGAAGATGTTCTTGAGCGGATTGGACAGCTCATCTTTGAGATCCATCTCCACTGGCCTGGGTTTGAGGTCAGTGGCAGTGACAGCAGCGTCGTGAGGTTCTGGTACAGCCTTCTCAAAGAGTTAGAACAAAAGGATTTCAGGCTTTTTCACAGTTATAAAGATTTATCTAAACCTCAGCTATTCTTGAAGAAAGACATTTTCAATGCAAGTAGCTGTTACACTCTGAGTTGGGTGAATACAAGATGGAAATAGGATGCAGGATGTCCTCAAGAGCACAAGAAAATATTTGAAGAATGGAGCATGTCCGCGATTCTAATCATGAGTTTACTCATCCAGTCTCCCGCTAGCCTGTGCCCTGCTTGAGGCAGGGAGTGTGTTATTGCCTTTGCAGTGCATGCAGCCTGGTGCTTGGCATGTGATAGGGGCACAGTTAATACTTGTTAAAGGGAGGAACACAGTCACCCCTATTTGCCCAGACGCTTCCTTCACCGTAATCTGGAAGATTATCCCCCATTCATCTCAGTTTTCCCTAAAATTCTCTGTGTATCTGTAATCTATGAATTCACCAACATTGAAATGAAATTATATACATTTCCTTTTTTACTAGGTTGGTGAGATTTTTAAGTTCTTTGCCTACTGTTTAAAATAGGGTTTTAAATTTGAATTTGACTCTGCTTTTTCAAGATTTTTCTTATTTACCTTGTCAGTGATATTCTTTACAACATTGTTGATTTCAGTCATTCCTTCTCAGCCTTTGCTGAGGCCGTGCTGTGGCTTTATAAGCAGCAATACTTCTGATTTCTGGGAATTTGGATGCACCAAATTCTGTCACTGAGTTAGAGAGACTAGACTATCAAGAGTTTCAACTCGAAGGTGGAAGTTCCAGTTCGAGACCAAGTCTGAAGGCAGGAGACCCATGTCCCAGCTTGAAGACAGCCAGACAGAATGAATTCTTCCTTACTCTGCCTTAGGTTCTATTTAGGCCTTCAAGTGGTCGAATGAGGTCCACTCACACTGAGGTGAAGAATCTGCTTTATTCAGTCTACTGATTTAAATATTAATCTCATCTAGAAATATCCTCATAGATATACCTAGAATAATGTTTAACTAAAGATCTGGACGCCCTTTAGTCAAGATGACACATAAAATTAACCATTGTAGGTAGGTAGGTAGATGGATAGATAGATAGTTAGATATATAGATAGGTTTTCCTACTGGCATGTTTCACCATTTTCTTGACTCACATATTCTTGTTTCCATCTGGCTCCTTCAGTCTGTGCTCTCCTCGCTGAAGTAAGTCCTTTAATGCTTACTTTATTATGAGTCCATGAGTGATATGGTTTGGCTATGTCCCCAACCAAATCTCATCTTGAATTGTAGTGCCCATAATCCCCACATGTTGTGGGAAGGACCTGGTGAGAGGTAGTAGAATCATGGGGGTGGTTTCCCCCATGCTATTCTCGTGATACTAAGTTCTCATGAGATCTGATGGTTTTATAAGGGGCATCCCCCTTCACTTGGCTCTCATTCTTCTCCTTCCTGCTGCCATGTGAAGAAGGATGTGTTTGCTTCCCCTTCCACCATGACTGTTTCCTGAGGCCTCCCCAGCCATGCTAAACTGTGAGTCAATTAAATTTCTTTCCTTTATAAATTACCCAGTCTCAGGTATCTCTTCATAGCAGTGTGAGAATGGACTAATACAGTGGGTATTACACTTTTTAGATTTGACATATTTGAAAAAGCACTTGCTTTTCATACCTGAATAAAGTTTATTTGTGCACAGGAAAAAAAAAGAGCTTCAACTCAAGATGTTTTTTATACTCAACCTTAATTCCCCTTCACTTCCTATTAAACTAAGCACAGAGCAGGATCTGGGTATCTTTGCTCTTGCCTCTTCTGCCTTCAAACATGATTTTTCCACCCACAGACTTGCCTATGCTGTCAAATCTTTTTTTAAAAATATGTTATGTCTAATAATGTTAAGTGCATTTTTCTTTACTCGCAGTTGGCATCACTTACACGACTGTGGCCTGAGGACCATCGTCTCATTTTCCTAGGATAGTTAGACAGTTTTTCAATAGTACCAATCCTTTCTACATTAAAAATTAAATGGAAAGTTTAGGTTATCAGTGGTTCAAATGCTCTCTCTCATTACTATTTACAGGATTAAACACGTGCATAATTTTCCAAAATCCTATTTCAAATAAATAGCATAAAAAACAAATTATTACTTTATTGTCAATTAAATATATTTTTTGGCATTTTTTTTTCCTGAGTATAAAACTGTATGTATATTGTTCAAGAATTGGGGGGAGGGAGTAGAATACTGATTATTACTAGACTTTACCCCTTTTCCCAATTTTGTACCTCCTTCTACCCTCAGACATTCCCCAGGTTGGCTCTTTGTTTCTTGAAGTGGTTTGAAAATGCCATTCCTCAAGTGAGAAATCAAACCATATTAGACTAGGATGAACTCACTAGCTTGAGTTGAAAGAGAACAGGACTTTCTGAGTTAGTTGTGATAATTAAAAAATACATATACACATGAGCTTTTTATTTTAAAACTCATAGTCCACTAATAAAAGTTGTTGAGCCGAGAGGACCAGCTTGAGTAAGCGTGATCTGAAAAGGCAGTTTAGTCGTTTCAATGTACAGAGGTATTTCAGATGTGCGGAAGGGTCCATGCTCACTCTAAATTGGTTTATACTGTTAGTTTATATGGTGTCATCTCCAAAGCAAAGCTTTAGGCCAGTTCTGTTTGGATTATATAACAGATTTATTTTCATAAAACTTTTATATACTGAAATATATAAACATTTTTATACATTAAAATGTGGAAAGTGTATTCATCTTAAATGTCCAGTCTGATCAGCTTTTAGATATGTAACACACCCATATTAAGATTTTTAATTCGTGGAACTGGAGATTTAGGGCATTACTGAAAGCCCCTTTGTCTACGGCAAGTTAACTATTTACTTCAGGTTGGTGGTGTCGAGCATTGACTTCATCATGCTATATGTATCTGAAGCAAGAATGAATGTACTGTTAAAAAAGAATAAATCATGAACATACCCAGCCACATTCACTGACCAGGCAGCCTGTTTAATAGTTATTCATACTTATTTTATGCTTATTTCTAAAATGGTCCCTTTCATTCCCTTCATGGATAGTTTGAAATTTGTGATGAGTACTCTGATGGTTGTTAAGGTGTCCCTGCCTCTAGAGTTTATTATGTTTATCATGGTGGCCAGGGTTTCTTAACCTCAGCACTATTGCCATTTGGGCTGGATAATTCTTTACTGGGGGAAGGGCTGTTCTGTGCATTGTAGGATATGTCCCCAAGGGGGCAAGATCACCCACTGTGGAGAACTACCGGTGCAGGCCATGAGAAGGAGACCAGGCTACTGTAGCACTGTTTGCTTGTGAACACGCAAACACAAGATCCTCTTATGAGGAACAGGCAAAACCATAATCATCACCACCACAACCACCATAAGAGCAACACAAACAACACACAACAAACAAACAAAATCAAGTTACTCTTTACTGAGAGCTTACTGCCCGCCAGACCATGTGCATAGCTTATTCCTGATTCTCCCAACAAGGAAGTTTATTTTTTTCCAATATTATGGGTAAAGAAATTCTGAGAGAGGCTGGGTGCAGTGGTTCACGCCTGTAATCCCAGCACTTTGGGAGGCCAAGGCGGGCGGATCACGAGGTCAGGAGATCGAGACCATCCTGGCTAACACGTTGAAACCCCGTCTCTACTAAAAATACAAAAAATGAGTGGGCGTGGTGGCGTGTGCCTGTTGTCCCAGCTACTCGGGAGGCTGAGGCAGGAGAATTGCTTAAACCTGGGAGGTGGAGGTTGCAGTGAGTCAAGATCACGCCACTGCACTCCAGCCTGGGGGACACAGAGAGACTCCATGTTAAAAAAAAAAAAAAAAAAAAAAGAAGAAGAAGAAAGAAACTCTGAGAGGTTAAATGGCTTACTCAGATTACTCAGGTTGTAGATGGAGGAACAGTCATTTACATTTGGGTCTGTCAGATCCCCAAAAGCCCGTGTTTGGTCCCATCCACAATGCAGTTTCCAAAGCCTGTACCAAACATAAGATGCTGTGTCCAAAGGACACATTTTTGCCTCCCTGTTAGTAAAAGCGGAGTGGGGGGAAACTACAAATAAAAAAGGCCTGAAAGTTTGAGTCAGAATTATTTTGTAGCATGCAGGGTTGCTGAACTTAAATAATCTACTTGATTAAAGTGGGCCTGCCAAATGGAAGCTTACTGAAGAAATATGGAGACCCAACAACTTCTCTGTCAATATATTTAGGTTGCCAGAAAAGCTCTTGCAGGCCTGGAAATGACTCTTCTTCTGGCTTGTCCCAGTACTTGTCACTTTCCTCCTGGGTTTTAGAAATGGCAGTCACTTGGAGTTGCTTAAGCAAAGTAATTCTCCTTTGCTTAAAACTAGTCTTTGACTTGCAGATAAATGAGCTAAGATGTGAATATCTGTGACATGCATCTCCTAAATTTTTACTAGAGCAGTGTTCATAAAGGATTCTGAAAATACCCATTTGATAATGCTCTTATCAAATAAGTAACAATGCTCTTTTGTAGGTGTAAGCCATATGAGGATGAAAGAAATTCACAATTTGCCTTTTAGCATAAACTGTGTCATAATTTGTTAAGAAAAAACGATTTTCCCCTTTTCTTACAGTGCTTATATTTGATGCAGTTAAAATAGAAAAGGTTATCATATAAATATTTGTAACTATTTGACATGTTCAAATGAAGAACCAGGGAGAAGTGAACAAATTTCTGCTAGAATTAACCAAAAGTCCGAATTTACCTCAGGATAGGGCATAAACAAACTCATGGGTTAACAGTGTTTAGTACAAATCAGTTATTCATGTAAGCATTTCTGCTTTAGTTATAAGATCTTTTAGTAAGTATAAGAATTGCATTTTTTAGCATTAAATGTTTAGATTTTGCAAAGCTTGGATTAGTCCCTGGAAGCCAGGCTTATCATATTTTGCAAGTGTAAAAATGATGACCTCATTTAAATA